TCCCTCTCAGACAGTAGCATCCATTTTTACAGAAAAAGAAAGGCATGACATGTGTTCATAAATTACTGTCTTTTATGTGATGATTTTCTTTTACTCAACAACTTCTAAAGAGCAGTTAGGGCAGAGGACACGGACTCCTCTGTGAGCACTGTACCACAGAACTGTGCCAGTGCCATCTATGTAATCATCTAGGAAGCCATGTGAGTCTACTGAGCACATGATATGTGGCTAGAGTGAGTGTGACGAGGAACTTGTATTTAAATACCTACATACACTGTATGTACCAAACACAGCCCAGGCCCAAATCACAACAGTAACTACGAGCATCACTGAGCACTAACTATGTTACTTAGCCCATCAGTATCAGAGGTCACTGTTTTCTTCTCTCATTTTCCAGATTAGGGATCAAGCAGAAAAAGGTTAAGATCCCCTGACTAGGACTTCTGCTACTATATGTCTAATGTGTGAAACTCTACACAACTCTGCTAACTTCTCCTTCTCCTTGCCTTCAGGTGAGGGAAGGTTCCCTCCAGCATCTCACACCTCTGGCTATTAAGTCCCATATATGGCTCAACAAGGACAGGATGCTCTGACCAAGACAAGACCCCTGAGCTACTTACCTATGGTGTAACAATAGGGTGTCAACACTTTTGATGCAAAATACAATCTTGATCCTAGAAGATCAATCAGTGCAATCACCACAGACTTGTACAGGTGGAGATCCACAGGGGTCTCCAGGGAGCAGCATGGCGTGAGGAACGACTTCACTTGATACTGAGGAAGGAGTTTGGGGCCCTGAAATTCATACATGCAAGCACAAGAAAGGAAAATCGAATGTAAGAGCAGGGTGAGTTGAAGGCTATGGGATAAAGGCTGACGCAAAATGACTTTATATACATGGTATGTTTCTAAGACACGGGCACACCTTTTTCTAAAAATGACTACACGAGCAGACTGCTATAGCTCATACCTTTTAAATGAGTAAAACACAAGAATGCCAGTTTAAAAGCTGCTTTGGAATGCTGGGAATTGCTTCAAGGTCATGATCATTCTCAACTAAGGTTTTTGTTTGTGTGTTTTTTGAGACAGGGTTTCAGCCAGGCATTGGTGGCACAGGCCTTTAGTCCCGGCACTCGGGAAGCAGAAGCAGGCAGATCTCTGTAAGTTCAAGGTCAACCTGATCTACAAAGTGAATTTCAGAACAGGCTCCAAAGCAACACAGAGAAACCCTGTTTCAAAAGAACACAAACAAACAAAAAAATAGCTACAATAAAAAACAATAAAAATTAAAGACAAAAAGAAAACAGGTACAACATTTGTAATTGTTAACTTGTCTCATCCTGAGTTCTTGAAGCTGCAGAAAGACAACTTGCAGGAAATATAAATGAACAATAAACATCTGGAAACATACTCAACCATTACTGACACATGGCAGCCCTTTTCAGGAGAGAAATGACAAGAATCCAAAGGACTAATCTCACTGCCGCTGGCACATGCAAGCCATAGCTGTCACCTTCATTTACTGTTGGTAAAGATGACAAGTATCCCTGCTAGGGGGAAACACCTGCCTTTATCCAAATTTTATTAAAGAACCTCACTTTTAAGTTCAGTGATTTTTAGAAAGGCTCTAGGATGATAAGACATTCGAAGACATTTATTATAGCATTGTTGACAGAGAAAAACCAGTAAAAGAAAAAACACCTGAAATGCTTTGAGAGTGTAGAACAAATGTCACAAAAATCAAAACCACAGCTCAAGCTCTGCATCTGGGACTTGAAAACGGCTGAAAGGTGCAGAAAAACACACTGCATGTCCTTTAGTCAGGCCCATCGCTTCAAATGGAAAAAAAGGAGACGGGGCACACACATTTGTTTACCTAAATCTGGGCAGAGAAACTGCTGTTCACACTTCTCTTTCAAGGGTAGAGGGGGTGGAGGAACTTTTATCCTTACAGACATTAGAGCAACCCAAGCAACTTTAAAGACTGGAGTCATAAACTTCATTCTTCAAATCAGCCACTCTTAGCTGCATGGGGCAGAGAGGAGAGGTGTGGCAGCCAAGCCAGGGACTGTCATTTCCAACTACACAAGGTGTCCGTTACGAGGACAGAGCTGTGTGGGAAAGGCCAACTCCAGCTAAACTGCAGCAAACACTTGGGTTTGGCTCAAGAAGGCTCTCAGGAATAACTCTGTGTGTTCAGTCCAGAGACTGGCACTCCACACAACAGCTACATGGAGTGGGAGAGCCTGCCGGGGAGTCTGGAGTCGTGAAGCTCACATGTTTGAGGAAATATAAAGAACTACGTGGCTGGAAGCCGGGCAGGGAAGACAAGAACACAGAAAGGGGACATTTTCCAAAGACAAGGCCATACCATGTTCCAGCTCAGGTTAAAGCTCTGCACCCCTGGGGGACATAAAGCCACCCATGTCTGTATTCTCACCTTATAGAAAGCACACTCGAGGACCGAAGTCATGAAAAGCTGGGTGAGTTGTGCCAGGCTCACTCTGTCCAAATACGACTCTTTACCTGCAAAAATGAATGGTCGAGTCTGAATTTTGGTGTGCAAAATGAGGGATTATGATCATAAAACAATTCATTCACTCCTAAGACACACGCTTTTAAATGGCACTAGTTATGAGTCAATGTAAACAGTACCCAAGTACACCCCAGGTTACAACAGTTAATTTTTTAACCACCTCACCTTGCAGCTGTTGAAGAAAAAAGGGGCTGAATATTTTCGACATAAAATTGACCGGATGGCGTTCAATCAGAGAACATGAATGAAGAAGCTTCAGTAGCATTTTTGGTGGGAAATGACGGAAGTGAGCAACCAGCACATTTTCCAGCGTCCTAAATAAAGCAGGGGCATTTGGTGGCAAATAATTCAGTTTTCCAAACGGCTCGATTAATTCAGAAATCTGACTAGGTGAGAATTTTTCTGACTGGCAAACAAGAGTCTCAGCAACGGCATTGAGGATGGGCTTGGAGAGAATCCGCTTTCGGCTGCAGTACTCCATGACGGTGCTGGTGACCTCAGGGTCCAGGGACGGGCACAGGGCAGCTACATGCTGCTCTAACGCCTCCGTGAGAAACCTGTCACTGTGTCCAAAATACAGAAACGCCTCCAAGACCTTCCTGAGCTCTTCATTAGTAAAACGAGGAATGTATCTCACAGCGTACTTGCTCAATTTTATAACCAGTGGAAGAGCGTGAGTCTGGTCAAGAGCCACTAAGGCGGTGAGCACGTGGCTCACAGATTCGGGACTCAGGCGGGGAACTATTGAGAGGGAAAAGTTGTTTACTGTGTTTAGAAATGCCTGGTGTTTGTTCACTTTTTCAGGACACGCCTGCAGAATCCTATAAACGGCCACAATATCCTCTGGGGCAAACATTTCCAAATTTTCACATTGTAGTTGACAAAGAACCAGTTCCAGTGTCTCACAGCCTGAACCTTGGAGTCTAACCAGGCTCTCCCCAAGCATACAAAGATGGTGGGGTTCCAAGCCACCTCTCCGGAGACGACGCCGGCATTCCGCCATGAGGCTCAGCATCAGTGTACTTGGAGGATCCACAGGCAGAGACTGCAGAGCCGTCACCAGGCCAGCACTGGTCAGATGTGAGGGATCCCGCTCGCACTGACAGCATAAAGCTTGGAAGACGCTGTTTTCTAGGATTCCTTTCGGCAGCCTGCGCTCGCCACATCCTTTCCCCACCTCGCAAACCCTGTGCAAGGCTGCTGACGCCACAGCGACAGGCAGAGTGTCCAGGGTACTTATGAAACTCAGCACTTCTTCCGGGGAGGTGCAGCTGCTTAGTCTCCTGTACGGCGTCTCTTCACCCTCGTTCTTAAGGCTTTGTTCCGGCCCATTCCATTCCTGTTCTCGGGAGAACCATGGCTCAGCAACTGGGTGAAGGTCATTGCCGTTTTCTGAGCGGAAGTTTTTACAGTAGGAATGACGGAACCTGACCCCAAACAGCTCAGGTTGTAAGGAACAGAACCAAACACGGAGACGATCTTTGACTATCTTCTGGACGTGATTACCGGCAGGGTGAATTGTCAAAGCGGCCACAGATCCAGGTATCCAAAAATCAAATATATGACACAAGTTTCTCCTCAGGGTGATTAACGCCATGCCATCAGATTCACAACTCGCCTTAGCACGAGAACAAAATAAAAACACCATGGTCAAATATATTGAGAAAGGCAACTTAACATCAGTGTTGACAAACTAAGAATGAGTATCCCAGGACAAAGACTAAAACACAAGAACCTCGATAAAATATATATTTTTTAAAAAAGCAGCAAGATTTCTCTTCCTAGGAGCCAGGAAATAGAGACAACCAGCAGGTGAGTCCCTTACCCCTTCCTTCTCCTGGTCCCAACCTCCATATCTAATTGGGTGACACCCAACAATTTCACCGTAACTGGCCAGGCTACCGGGCAAAAACCTGCACAGCCCTTTCTCGCCAGTGTCACAAAGATTTTTTTTCTTAAATGAACTATGCCTTAAATCTAAACTTGTGTCACACGTGTACTAAGGATCTCTCTGACTAATGTTCTGTGTCTAATAGCATGCCCTCCTCCGTTTGCAGGGCCACACCGTGTGCTTTTACAAAGGTGTCCTCTTCAAGGACCAAGCTCTATGGTATGTATGGGAGCAGCCCGGCTCGTACCCGGAGTCTGAATTTTGCCGGCTGGGGGCTGCCGTTCCGCACAGGTGAAAACAACCACAGAAAAGCAAGCAGCGCGGGCAGGGCGAACGGCAGAGGCAGGAGCCCACGGAGCACGCGGAAACGCGAGTGGGGGACGGCGGGCGCAGATCGCGACGGAAGAGCCGGGGACACCCGCACGCAACTTACCGAGCGGATCAGAGCCGCGGCCGGACACGCGCGGAGCTTCCGAGCCCCGGGGACGTCCGCACACCAACACCGTCCCTCACCGGGAGGACATCCCGGCGCGCGCCGCACCCAGGCACCGCCCACATCCGGCGCTCAACGATTGGCTGTCCCAGGTTCTGCCGGCATTTCTAGTGATGGGGCGTGAGGAGCATGCGCGAGAGGAGGCTATAGCGCGCGTGCGCAGCGTTCTCAGGCGGAACCTCGCCGAGGAAAACAGTGTCCCGCGCCGGAGATCGCGGCTGGAGGTACGCGGCCGGGTGTGTCGGGGAGCGACGGGGACCCTCGGGGATGGGGCTGGCGTCTCTGGGTGTCCGGGGCCGCAGGGGAGCTGACAGGGTGCTGTGGGCGGGGGAGGAGGCTTCTTCCCGAGCCCCGCACGTGTGGCCTTGCGAGCCCCGCGTTGGCCCCGGCTGGGACTCTGTGTCCCAGCTCTTGTCGGGAACTTAGTACTGTTTCATAACGCCAGAAGATGAGCCACAAGAGCATGCAACTATAGTCGGTTCGCTCACCCAAAGTCGGCTTTCCTACCGGGATTAGCCACTAGATAGAATGCGGGTGCGTGGGATCCCAGCGCCCTAGGTGTTTTTAATTTTACTCTCGGTTATCTACGTCCGTGTACACTCACTACTGATTTGTGTAACGGTGGGAGCTCCGACGACGACCAGTACTTTGATTAGGATCCCGCAGGAAATAGAATTCCCCAATTTTAGGGGAGGGGAGCGTTGTACACTTACGGTTTTTAAAAGGAAAGAAACAAAAAGACCTTTGTAGGTGACACTGTGAGCCTTCCTCGCTCAGGCCCCTCATCTTGTCCTTAATCATACAGGTTTACGATCCTAAGCCCGCATGCGAATGGGAAGAGGTGAGGGTCAGCTCACTCTTCCTACAAGTGTGCGCATGCAAGATTCAAATGTGGCTGGAAATCGGGCGTGGATTTCGGAGCAATGCGATTAAGAGTCTCACTTCTGCATGCTTCCTGTCTCAATTCTCTCCCTCTGCGGTTAATTTTAAATGAGCGCTAAGAAATAAGTGTACAGATTGCGGCAAATTGATACACCTTTGTGTGGCCTGCTTCATTGTGGTTTTTCAGTCTCGCTGACCCAAGGTGATGAGAAGATTTTTGTTACTGTATGCTACACAGCGAGGACAGGCAAAGGCCATAGCAGAAGAAATTAGTGAGCAGGCTGTGTCACATGGGTTTTCTGCAGAGCTTCACTGTATCAGTGAGTCGGAAAAGGTAAGGGCAGCTGTTTTGTGTGCTATGACAGGGTTGCTTGTGAGATTAAGCAGCTTTTTTGTTACCGGGGCTCATCCAAGCCAACCTTGCACTCACACTGTAGCCCAGGCAAAAGTTGAACTTGGCAACATCCTGCCAACTAGTTGAGATTAAACATGGACGTTTATACATTTGAATTAGGTTTTAAAAAAAATTCTTAGAAACTGAAACAGGCAGATACTACCTACCTGTAAATGGTAACAGTGGTATGTGGTTCATTTATCTCAAGTGGCTGTGAAGACAATGGGACGCTTTTGGGTTTGTATGTCTTTTTACACATATGTGTTTTCCCACCTTATAAACTCAGTGCCCCTTTGGATTCCGTAAAAAGACCTTGCCATTCATTGTAGAGTTCCTCTTAATGAAAGGCCATGGGCTTCCTTGATGAACTGGAGTTTACAGAAGTGGCTTCGGGATCCAGTAAGAGTCTGGGTAGTCACGATTTCTCTGAGAGGTCCCTGCATTAGCCAGAGTTGACAGGCGCTTGACCGTCTATGCCCTGTTCTCAGTCTGAAGGGTCCAGAATGCACTGTTCCCAGTAGCTCACATGGTAAGGCTTTAGCTAAGTGCTTGTGCTGGCTCCTGGCCCTCAGATTCCCTTCAGTACCTCAGAAGCTATGTGAACAGTGTTCTGTCCCTCTAGTTCAGTCTCCCCCGGCCTTTCACAAACCACAGCTTCAGAAGGCTAGACCAGCCACAGCATGGTGAATTATGAATTATGCTGGTTGAAGGAGACACCCCTTTAATGTGCCTCTGCCAACATGGCTGTAGATGACCTTCCAAGATCACCACCAGTCAGAGAGCCCTGTCGTTCATCAGTAGCTCAAAGTAAACATACCACCATGCCCATGCTGGACAGTACCCTGAGTCTGTAATAACAGGCAGATGTTGGCATAAAACCAGCCCCTATTGGGCCTTACAGTTGATCTCTCCCTAGTTGGGCTGGCATCCGTTTGGTGGGAAGGTGAGTGGTGGTTTTTCTTTTAGTGCCATGGGAACCCGGCTGTTTACTCCCCCACCCCTCCCGGCCGAGCATTTTCTCCAGTTGAGCATGATCTAAGTTGAAAGGATAGCCGTCTATTGCCTACCTCACAGTAGTCCTGTTAAGAGTGCCTTGTAAGCCTTCACAGCCTGGTGGAAAGTTAACCTGAGTCCTTATCCATGGGAGTGGAAAAGAAAGTGAAGGCTGGTTGTAGCTCTGTGGTAGACTCTGCGTTGTATTAGAAACCACAAAGAAAGTAAAATAGGATTGGGGTGTTAGGAGAATGCTTGCCCAGCATGCATAAAGCCTACATAAATCTGGGTGTAGTGTCTTGCACCTATAGTCCAGGTGTTTGGGACATGGAGGCAGGAGGATCCGAAGTTCAAAACCAACCTTGGATCCGTAATGATTTCAAGGCCAGCCCAAGACCCCTGTCTCAAAAAAACGGTGCAGTGAATTCTTTGAACCTAAACTGGGCTATGTTCATGAGCAGTCAAAAAAGAAACCTAGCAAGAATTAAGAGCATGGACCATATCTGTTTCCTTTCACAGTATTCCAAATATGAAGGGAATGAGGAGTTGGTTATGACAGGCAGCTGATACCAAGGGGCAACACTTAATTTTCCCCCTTAGAATACCCTCTGTCCATCTGTGTGTCATTGCCTCTGCTTCATTTGTAATACACGTGATTGTTCAGATTTGATGAAGATTCCAGAGCTGCGACCTGCACCGCAGTCTGTCTTCACTGGGGTATCTGATGTTGCTCCTGTGGTCTGAATTTTTTAAGGTTTGTTTGTTGAGGCAGGGGTTCACTGTGCAGTGTTGGCTGACCTGGAGGTCACCATGTAGACTAGGCTGACATTGAATTTATAGAGAGCCGCCCGCCTCGCCTCCTAAGAAATAGGACTAAAGGCGTGTACCACCACGCCTGTCCTGTTCTGACTTAATCCTGGTACTCGGTGTCTGTCTGTTTCTGTCTCTCCTTGACCCTATAAAGCCCCTTGGCTCTCTTTATTGTCATGTGTATTTTTTCCTCCCGCCTTGCTTCTCGCCTGTCCTCCTGATGCTTTTGGTGGAGTCTGTTTGTTCTCATGTTTTCCTAACTAAAGAATTGAATGGTAGGGGTGGGGGGAACCCCAGACCTGTTCTTAGTGAAGCACGTGGAGGAAAGGTGTGTTCAACTCTTCTAGCCTCTGGTGAACATCAGCAAAGGTGAACTAAACAGGCGGTGTCCTTTGCACCTGGTCACAGGACTGGTCACTAGTGTAAAAGGAAGCGCACGAGACAGGAACCTGCTGATTGCTTCCACTTGCTTTGTCCTGCTCTTGCTGCTGTGCTAGTTCACAGATTCGTGCAATCCTGCGTCCTGATTTGATCTCCCTGTTTGTAGTATGATCTGAAAACCGAAACTGCTCCTCTGGTAATGGTCGTGTCCACCACGGGTACTGGAGATCCGCCCGACACAGCCCTCAAGTTTGTTAAAGAAATACACGACAGGACTCTACCCTCAGACTTCTTTGCTCGCCTGCGGTATGGATTGTTGGGTAATGGACTCTGTTTGTTTTTAATATATGCAGTTATTGCTTTGACTAGGAATATATCTTTTAAAATCATGAAATATAGTTGCATGTGTCTTTTTTTACATAAATATTGTATCTATATAAAATACAGAGATATCAATGATTGTCTAGTTAATACTCAAAAGCAATACCCTGGTCCTCCCCTCTCCCTTGTCCTGGGTGTATCTAGGGTCAAACCCAGGTCCTTAAACCCTAGGGGAGCCCTTTACCCCTGAGCTGCACCCCCAGCACTCTGCATAACCTCTTCAGTAGCCATAGAAGATTGTCATAATATTAGTGTCTAGGCCTCGCTCCAAACCTACTGAAACAGAATCCTCGCAGGAACGAGCACTTAGGTTATTTGTTTAAGATAGCAGCAGGTCTCTAAAACCCAGTTATGTTCCCTGAGAACGTACCTTCAGAATTATGGTTTTCAGTCCCTAGTTTGACCAGGGACATTGGAACCATCCAGGGAGTCTTAATAATTCCTTTACATTTGGCCTGCTAGCAGTGACTCTGATACTCAGAGGTGCGGCTCTTTTCCATGGTTAGGAACAGTTCTTTACTGATGGTCACATCCATCACGTGCTAAGAAAATGGCCTAGGGCTTTGTAAAGCATAACTTAGAGAGCTTATGGTAAGGATCAGAAGGGCCAGCAAGACGGCTCAGTGGGTAAAGCAGCTTGACACCAAGACCCACATGACAGAACCCTGCGAGCTACCCTCTAACCTTCACGTTATACCATGTTACAGAAGAAATTTTAAAAACTAAAACATGGGTGGGGGGCAGCATAGAAAACTGACGCTAAAGAGACTATGCAGATTCCTGGCTTGGGCTGGTATTGATGGCTGAAGGTGTTTGGGAGAGTGTTAGTACAGATACCCTATGCTGCTTAGATGTTCCTCTAACCCCAGCCGCCAGCTGGTTTATGCTGCACATGTTTGAGAAATGATGTAAGCAGTGCAGATTTTCTTGAAGATTTTCTATAAAGATCGGACTGACGCCTAATCCAGCCACTCTGGTCAGTGTTGGGCTGGGCCCGTGTACAGACCCATCACGTGCTTGCTCACTTGTGGGGAGAAGACACAGGAATAATTAAGCTGAGAAATGTAAGTTTTCAATTTTGAAGTTTCTAGCAGATGCGAACAAAGCCTTAGCTTTCTCGGCGTGTGAGGCTGGGGCAGTTTGTACAGCCTCTGCCTGTCTTGCCACTGTGCCTGGGTGTATAGGTCAGAAGTGGCAAATGCTGTTGGGGGAAGTTAGACATTGGAGGCTCTGTAGGTTGCATGGTCTGTCATAGCGGCTGGACATGGCTGCTGTGGCTTCGAAACCACCACGACATGTCAGCAAACAGATGCAGCTGTGTTCCAGAGAAACCTTCCCTAGGAACCTTGAGTGCATTGGGTCCAGCAGTGGTCTTTGGCCATGGTGTTCAAGTTGGGAAAGAGTAAAGTACAGTTAGCGCTTTCAAAGCCAGCTTAACCTGTTTCAGTGACTCCTGGAAACGACAATGTCAGGCATGTGTATTTCTGTGGCCAGGAGCCAGTATCTGTTTTGTTACTGTCTGGTGCTTTCATGATGGGCATACTTAGCATTGCTGAAAAAAAGTAAGGAATTGTGGATACATGCTTTATAATTATTATCGTCTGTGTAGGAATATGGGATAGTGTTCAGACATGTTATTTCTGCATCTGTTACATCTTTGAGCCTTTGTACACACTGAGTATCTATTTGGGTTCTCCAGGTTTGGGTGACTCAGAATACACATACTTCTGCAATGGAGGGAAAGTAATCGATAAACGTCTCCAGGAGCTTGGAGCCCAGCATTTCTATGACACTGGACATGCCGATGACTGTGTGGGGTAAGGGCAGTGTGTGTCTGTTTTCAGTAAACCCGTACACATGGCAGAGGTTGGTGAGCCTATGAAAGATGCTTGTCTTAGTTTTAGCACCGCCAGTCATCTGAGTCTCATTACAGTTTCAGCATTTAGCCAGAACCCAGGAAGGTCAGATGACTGGCCTGTGTTGTCATGTCCTGCACCGCACCTCCGCCTCCAGTGTCTGTTAATGGAAAGAGGGTGGCATCCAGCACTGTTACGTGCATCTCAGAGTATGGGTGTGCTTGTAAGAGTGAGTGCTTTTTCTGGCAATATTGGTATTGCCTGTGTCTTCTCTCTGCCTGCACACAGGGGCCCTGTTAGCATCTCCTCTAGTGGAAGGAGCCCTCAGGATGTCTCTTACCAACTTAATGGAGTGTGCTTTTACCTTTTGTCATTTTTCTTTTTACAGCTCAGTATTTGAGCCTGGGCTCAACCTTCCAAATCCTCCTAACATGTTTCTTTCCGGTTCTCAGTGTTGTCCTGACACAGTCTGCTATTTAGCCTTTAACTATCATTACTGTAGTCAAACAATAGTACACATTCTTGGTTTTTCTTCGTTGTTGTTGTTTTGTTTTTGTGTTTTTTAACTAGGTAAAAATACTAGATGAATTTCCGGTCAGTGTGTTAGTAAATGACCCACTTATGGAAATACTGACATCAGCAATGTCGTGCTCTTCTCAGCTCCCCTGCTCTGGGTATGGCAGGGACTTCTCGTGTTTCCTCTCTTCCTGCATGGGCCCCAGGCGTTCCTTGATTTCCTTCAGCTACAGTCTCTAATACATGTTTTCCTCACAGGACAAAGCTCTGGCATTGTCCACACTATTTTCAACTGTCCTTGTGAGCTTTGTTTGATTGTAGGAAATGCTCATATCAGTCTTTAGGGTCATTTCCTGTGACACTGCACACAGATCTCTTCAAAGGATCTGGGTCATTTATTTGATCGATTATTAAAGTTCCTGAGTATGTTTCAGTAGTTTGTACGTCTGAGATGTTCAGCCTGCCTGCTGTGTGTGTCCACAGTAAAGGTACTTTGCTGAAGACATTCCTGTCTGAATTCCCTCCACACTGAAGTTCAGAGTGCTCTTGCACGCACACGCCTGGAGTTGAGAATGCTCTTGCACACACGCACATGCCTGGATGAAATCTTCCATCCCCACTTGACCTACACTTTGCTCACTCATCATTCTGTGTCCAAGATAGATAATAGCAGGATGCACTGTGAAGGTTCAGAGTATGGTCAGACAGATCGGTGCTCAAGGCCTAGGACCATGCTTCCTCACAGTGGACTTCTTTCACGATTGTCTATTTCTCAGTTACAGGAGTGATGCCTTACATGTAACTTAGCACTGAACTTGCTTGTGGTCTATTGCACACACAAACTCCTAATGAACACAGTGGGATTACACTCTTGAGTTCTAGAAAGACAGGTCTGCAATGTACCTCGATAGTCATCTGTCGTAGTGATTAGGTTTGACACTGCCTTTCCGTTGAGATGAAAAGCGATCCTTTTTATCTTCTTCAGAGGTGTATGACATAAGAGCCCGGATAGCTCAGTCGGTAGAGCATCAGAGGTCTCTGACACTCTGTCTGTGCCCTCTCCTTAGCCACCACAGTTCACGGCATGTCAAGAACATTGTGACCATGTTGTGCTTTGTTAGTCCTAACTGAACTTTCTGCAAGTTAGGAATGAATGTATGATTAATTCAGCTTTCCTGAGAGAGGAGGATGGGAGAGAACAGTCCCTGAGATTAGCCTCTCTGAGAATCTCAAATAAATAAGTACATATGATTAAAACATTTGAAAAGACACATTCATAGATTGGTAGATGGGGAGGGAACTTATTTAGTTAGACATTTGGTTCTAATTTAGAATGATTTGGCGATATCTGTAGGAAAAAGATCAATACATTTAATGAACTAAACAAGGTGGTGCCTTCGACTGATATAATCCATTTATAACATGAGAATTGCTAAACTCTGTTAGTGTCATCAGGGTTACACATCTGTAAAATGTTAACTCCCCAAAATGAAGACAGCCAACCCTGAGGGTAATTAGATTTCCATTATCAGAGCAAAGTAGCTTATACCTCAGCTCATTTGTTCTGTTTGCATGTTCAGTTATACAGTGCTAATCAGCATGATGCTATGCTTTTGAAAATTATATTTTTTGAAATAATCAGTTTAGTGCATCTACAGTCATATGTAGCACACTGTTGAATGAGCCTACTGCTGTTCTTTCATTGTGCTCAAATGGACAACTTAGACATTTGGTTTTTCCCCCCTTTTATTTATTACATACCAGCTTAGAGCTCGTGGTAGAGCCATGGATTGCTGGACTCTGGGCCGCCCTCACAAAACACTTTAAGTCACTCAGAGAGCAAGACGGAATGAGTGACATGCTCCCACCGGCATCAGATGCCCCCTTGAACACCGCTGTGAAGTCGGAGTTGTTACACATCCAGTCACAAGTTGAACTTCTCAGATTGGAGGATGTGGGAAAGAGGGGTTCCGAGGTGTGGGAGCGCAATGAAGCTAACAGGAGTCAGAGGGGAGATGTGATTGAAGACTTGGAGTCCTCGCTTGTGCGCTCAGTTCCCCCACTCTCAGACGCCTCTCTGAGTATTCCCGCTTTGCCAGCAGAGTATTTGGAGGTCCGTCTTCAGGAGGCTCTTGGCCAGGTGAGAGATTTACCTCACAATGCGCTAACTGTGAGCACCTGCCTTGTGCTTGTTTGTCACATTTGACAGGTGGCTGAGATCGCGGACCAGGTGCAGCCTCTCCCACTGTAACCACGGTTCCTGCAGCAGCCCTGCCTGTTGCACAGTCACTGCCTACTGCTGCTTTTCTGGGGAATGCACAAAGAAGTACGCACTTACTGTATGAGCCTTCCAGAAAAACTGTGCCCACGTCCATGTTACAAGTGGCTTGATGTTCAGAAGTCCTTTTTTAGCATCTCTGACATAGCCTCTCGTGGCACCACTCTCCCTGTCTTCACCTCAGCCTGCTCCCATCATCTCTCGGGTGCCCCGCCCGCCGTTCAGAGCCTCAGCATCCCATCTTGTCCATACTCCCCTGACTTTCACTGTTGGACTCCCCCTATCTGCATTTACATTGCTGTCTGTGCTGCGCCTCTGCCTTCTCCCTGTCACAGTGTGGAAGGTCTCATCCCCCACATGGTGTCCAGCTCCAGACTCCTGTGTTAGCAGCCTGCTCAGGCTGCTCTAGCACTAAATGTCACTGGTCCCCAAGCATCAGACTGTGAAATATTCTTCACAGCAGTTGTGTGGGACTGGAGGGCCAACAGCAGGATCACACGCAAGGAAAGTCTGAGCTGTGGCGCGAAAACGGACCAGTTCTGGCTGTCTAGAATCGAGCCGTGGGCTGGGTTATGGCCATCATAGTCCCTGGATTTGGGCTGCACTGAAAGGAGAGGTGGCTGAGGAACGTGACCGCTATTGCTGAGCGCTTCCTACAGAGCTGGCTGGGCTGGGGCTGGTGCAGGTCTTGTGAAGGTCACATTCCAGGTTCCCCCCACCAAGGCTCCAGCATCCAGCTGTGACTTGCCCCCAGCCTTCCCAGATGGCCAGTTGTCCAAAGTTAGTTGACTTTCATTTGTAAAATGTTTTCTGGTTTTAAATAAAATCAAGTTAGAAGAGGAACCAGAAGATATCACAAAGAGTTAGGTTTCTGTGCAGTTTCCTAAGACCTGTGCTATCCTTATAGGGCCAAAAGTTACAGATACTTCTGAAGTAACTAAAACTGAGAACACCCTTCCTCCACCAGGCCTACATCAGTAGGCTTAGCTGCCCACCCGCTAGCCCCAGGCTCTGCCTATCTCGGCTGTTTCACTGCTGGAATGACAAATGCATGCCACCAAGCCTGGAGTTTTTAATGTGGTTCTGGGGCTCCTGGTTTATTGTATTTCATCCCATTTGTTTCTCAAGGAGGAAAGCCAGACACCTGTGACTTCGGTGGATCCAGTTTTTCAGGTTCCAATTTCAAAAGCTGTTCAGCTGACTACAAATGATGCCATAAAGACCACACTGCTGTTGGAACTGGACATTTCAGTAAGTTGTTTCAGAGTTTGTCCTCAGCACGGCTGTGTCCTGAAGATACTCAGAACCTTTGGTTGCTTGGTCACTGCACCCAGTAGAGATGGCTCTGGCAGGGCGCCTGGCCGTTTATTCCTGATCTGTCATTTTCTCTGAGCCTCTTTCTGCTTCAGAGAAGGGGTGAGATGAGACGGAACTGGCGAGGACCAAGCAGAGCACAGCACCTTGATCACAGGCCATGGGAGAACAAGGGGGTCAGACAGCCAGCAGAAGGAAGCTGCTCGCTTAAGATCAGCCAGTGAGGGGAACTAAAGCTCAGAGTAGATGGTCAGGAGCGCACCACCTTCTCAGACAGTACTTCCAATTCTTGGGAGACTGAAAAGTTTCGGGAACCTCTCCAGAGAGCATTTGCCTGTTATGTCAAGGGGCTGTACATGATCATTTGAACCACATCCATGAGTTCGTCTGCATCTGTTCCTCTGAGGGATGCTATAGTCATTAAGTCAGCCTTCATCTTGAAGAATGTCCCAAGAAAATCAGAACACTTCAGGTTGTCTGTGAACATTCAGTAGGGCTTCCTGACAGAAACAGTAGACTTTCTGTTTTGTGTCTGTACTAGTGAGAAAGTTCATGGATCTGTTAAGTGCACTGTGTGTGTGTGTGTGTGTGTGTGTGTGTGTGTGTGTGTGTGTGTGTGTGTGTGTGTGTGTGTGTGTGTGAGCTCGCGTGCGCATGCACCTAAGAATACTGGAAGATAATATTAGGAATTTTCCGGGAATACTTTCCATCTCATTCACTCATGCAGCGTCTCTGTCAAACCCAGAGCTCTCCAGTATGGCTGGTTGTGGGCTGTGGGGTGAGGTGTACATACCCTGTCTCCACCTTTCAAGGCTGGATTTACAGGTAGGCACACACCCAGCCAGCGCGGATGTGGATTCTGGTAATCTGAACTTTGCAAACTTACTGGCTAGAGCTTTCTGCCCTCCTTACACACATTGTTTTGTTTTGTTTTGTTTTCTAAGACGATGTCTTACTCTGAATTCAAGAGATTTGCCAGCCTCCAGCTCCCCAGTGATGGGATCAGTGGTGTGCACTAGCACACCGACCCTTGGTCTTTTCTAGAGTAACTCCTGATGAAATTGTATTTGTTGATGAATGGACTTTCTCAATTTCACCTTGGTCCTTCTCTAGAAAATCGAGTTTCCCCATCAGCCTGGAGATTCCTTCAATGTGATCTGCCCAAACAGTGACTCTGAGGTGGAAAACCTGCTTCAAAGGCTGCAGCTGGCTGATAAACAAGCACACCGTGTCATCGTGAAAGTTAAGACGGACACTAAGAAGAAAGGTAGGACAGATGCTGGACGTGACCAGACACAGGCACGCACCCACGCACGCAAACACACAACCCAAGCAAATCTGGTGCTGACTGGTTCTTGATGCTATTCTTACTTATAATGAATAGTGGTAATGGACACTAGTGGGCATGAAAGGAGCCTAGAGCCTTTATGTTTACTTCTCATAGTAATTTTTATTATGCAAAAATAATTCTCTGTAAATAGAAGCTGTTTTATTATTTAAAATATTAATATGACTTGTGTATAATATTGAACTTTCGGTCCTGTTTTTCAAAAAGAGGTATTTTTATTTTTGTGTCTGTTGTGTATGGTGTGTGTGTGTGTATGTATGTATGTATGTATGTATGTATGTATGTATGTATGTATGTGTACCACATTGTGCTGGTGCCTGCTTGAGGCCAGAAAAGAATACTGGATCCCTGAAGCTAGAGTTACAGGAATGAGGGTGCTGGGAACCGAACTGGGGTCCTCTAGAAGAGGTGTCACGCTTAATAACTGAGCCGTCTCTCCAGCCACTGAAGTTACTTTTAATTTTACTGGAACTTGGTCATCTTTTTCCATTTTGTTTAGATAATTTTACTATGGTACATTTTGAATTTATCATTCTTTTACTTTTGTGACGTGACTGGTGTTTTCCTGGCATATTTATTTCTCCAGTTGCTGCTTGACCATTGCACAAGTCATCACTTGGTAGCACTGTAAAGTGTCTCAGCTAGCGATGTTTGCTGAATGCAAACCATGTTCTAAACGTGTGTCTGTGGTTGTCTTTTCTATGGCATGACTCTTCCCACCTCACCTGCAAGGAGCTGCTGTGCCCCAGCACGTGCCCGAGGGCTGTTCTCTCCAGTTCCTCCTCACCTGGTGTCTGGAAATACGGGCAGTTCCCAAAAAGGTATTTCTCTGTCTTCTGGGAGCAACTCTGTGTAAGACTCTTAGATAAGCCTGATGCCCACGCCTTGGAGCTATAAAAATAGGAGTTCAGTCGTCTTCCTAATGCCATGAAAACAGGTCTCCTTCAGTCGCCATTCACCTGACATTAATCTTACACAGTAAGGCAGCAGCCTGAAGTCAGGCTGCACAGGACCCCTCTTCTCCTCCTCCATGACAAGAAGCTTCTGAGGGCATGTGGGGCTCTCACCCCCTCCCCATCTCCTGCTGTATTGCTGCAGATCTTCTATGTAGTGCTGCCTGGTTATTTTGAGTGGGAAATTGAAGGGTTTGGCAGCTTCTATTGGTGTTTAGAGGGATTTTGAAATAGACTGAGCCCCTTGAGGTCAGTATTTCATTAGGAACTGTATTAAAATGCTTGCAGCTGTGTTTTTTGTCTCTAAACATTTCTTTAAATAGCTACAGTCCCCCGAACTGCTGTGCTGAGCAGACCCACTGTGGTGATTAAAGATGGGCTTCCATCTCCCGTTGGGTGGGTACCCACTGCACTGCTGGTCTTGGGAAGCAAACCACTTTAGAGAAAGACTGAGTCTCAGACACAGAACTCACTTTAATAGAGCTTAAGTTTAAGTATTTCAGTTTTGTCTTAACTTTGCTTTTTAAATTTTAAATTATGTGAATGTATTTTCTTTACTATAGAAAATATGCCATATTAAAATATCTGTGTGGATGTGATATAGGAAGTCAAAGTTTTAAGCCCTCAGAGTTTAATTCTGGAACCTAATTCCTGTTCCACAGCAAGACATCAAGTCTGTGTTTTCCAGTGTGGAAAAACTGAGGGTGTTTTCAACGGCTGCATCAAATTGTTGGTTTGATCACAAGCATCTGGGTTGTTTATAGATTTTCTATGGGGGGAGAATGTTTAAATAGAAATTTCTATACTGTCATAATCTTTGTGTCTGTGTTTGATACATTTGTGTAAAATAAAAATTTTTCTCAAGTAAAATTGCTATTTCAAATGATTTATACTTTAAAACCTTGCAGTGGTTTCTGTTGTTTCAGCTTGTTCTCGCTTCCATTTCTTAGAAATTTATGTATTTATTCATTTGTTTATTTGCTTACTTGTGTATTTGGAACAGTGTCTCACCATGTAACTGGCTGGCCTGGAACTCACAGAGCTAACCCTACCCACAGAGTAGCTCATAGCTGGCCTCTTTCCTCAGGCGTTTTTGCGTGCCCTGGTGGACTGTACCAGCAGCGCTGCTGAAAAGCGGAGGCTGCAGGAGCTGTGCAGTAAACAGGGGGCAGCTGATTACAACCGATTCATCCGGGACGCCAGCGTCTGCCTGCTGGACCTGCTCCTCACCTTCCCGTCCTGCCACCCTCCACTCGGCCTCCTGCTCGGTGAGTCACCCTCTCCACAGTGACAGTCTTCCGCGCACTGTTAGGTGAACCTCTTTGTTGTAAAGGAGGCTGGCTATTTGTGTCTCACTGTGGGTTTTATGCGGATACAGTGTGGCCACATTAAAATGGGGGGGGGGTTGACTGGTTATAGTGACATCTGGGCTCCCTCCTAGAAGCCCGAGTCCCTCTTTTGCATTTTGATTGTTTTCTTCTTCTATTAGTGTCACTCGTTTTCTCTATTAATTTCTCCAATTGTAGAATTTTACTTAGACTTGAACATCCTTTCTAGCTGTTTTGTTTTCAGTGAAGTTCCTTAGCTGGGTTTTAGCTAACAGTGGCTGTTCAGAGCGAAAGAGTGATTCCCATCGCAGCTGATGAGCTTGCGGTGATTGATTGAAGCTCTGTGTAGAATGCAGAAACAGGCCTTCCATCCAGGTGCATTCAGAAGCTAGGTGTGCAAGAGCAAAGGGGCCCTTGTAGTACAGCTGCCCCTGCCGGAGCCTGGTAGCTGCTCACAAGGACTGGAACTGTCTCCTGAGTGATGCTCGTGAACACTGCACCACTCTGTGGGTCCTGTAGCCTTTCTCACTTGCCTGCTTTTGCTTTCCTGTAGTGGTGCAGGGCGTGCTAACACTCACATGTGTGGTCCTCTTGTTAAGCCAGCAGGGGGTGTTTGGAGTCCTGTGCAGGGAATGACCAGTCAGGTATTTTCTGTTCCCATGATTTCTTGGTATTCTTTTATCTTCCTCCCAAAAATGGTCTTTGGAAAAAAAAGCCTAACCATTATGTGAGGCTAGTCTCCCCCATCCCGTCTAAGCCACCTGACTGGTGCTGTCCAGCCTAGTAGTATTATGGAGGTGGTAGAAGCTAGTGCATTACCAGAAAACAGGTTAGGACACAGAGGGAGTCATGGAGACCCACAAAATAGAAATTTTCCTTTTTTTTCTAAAGAAAACTTAGCACAGCCAATACTTAAGATGACTCTTTACTGAACTTTATTTCCCGACTGTATTAAGACTAAGCCATTTAAGAGGAATATTTCAAAGTTTTTCCCAAATAAACTAAAAGTAGAGCATGATAGTCACAAAAATTACAAAACTTATAAGCAGATAATTCAGATATGGGTCGTTAAGTTTATGTTGCTTTTCCACAAATCCCTGTGTATCTTGAACCCACTGGCCTCTGAGGAAGTTGGTTTTATTAAACACAAGAAGTAAAAGTTCATTGTGCTGGTGTTTTCTAAAATAGCTGACTTTGAAAACTGGGACGTGTCACTCCCAGTGAGCCATAGACACATGGAAGTAGTGAGTCTCTTGTCTGTGGGCCACTGTTCTTAGTGTCCTCATCCCTGAGACCAGCATGGGGAGGGGTCCTGGTTTTAGGGTTGAGCAGAGTATCACTGACATGCTTTAAATGAGAACATGTTATTTTGAGTATTCAAAATAAGAAAGTTAACTATAGACTGGACTTTCTTTTGTTTCTGTTTCAGTAGGCCTGAGTTAATTGCCTGTTTTTATTTTTTAGAGCACCTTCCCAAACTCCAACCTCGACCATACTCTTGTGCAAGGTATGAACACTCACTCACATAATAAACAGTTCCTAAGTCCTGGGAAACGTGAACTGCCAACTCTCTGGTGACAGGACAGATGCCACACACTCCCGTTTTGTAGAGCACAGTGCTAGGCACAGTGCCATCTGAGGAGCCCAGGACTTCTGGCTTCTGTGCCCTGGGAATTCAGTTTGTCCCTAACGACACAGTGTCCCCCTGTTGAAGACAGTAGGCTTGGGTCTCACCATCCTAGGCAGCTGAAGGGGCCAGCAGGGAGGGTCAACTATGGAACATAATCGAGTACTGACCCAGGCTTTCCAATGCCCTGCCCCTGCCACTGCAGCAGGTGTGCTTGTGGGAGGGATTTCACCCTCCGTTTCTTACAATGCGGATGAGTTTGGTGGATGTGTCTCCTGGGGATTCAGAACTTTGAGGTTTCTTCACTTTCAAATCTGTCAGCTTTATAAATAATACCCGATGTATTTGTCCCTTGTCATTTACCTGGTAATAAAACCAATCAGGTAAATACCAAGTGGGGACTCTTGAAGAAAGAGCTTTGGGACATCTCACGTTCTACAACCCTTACTGAAATGTTGAAAATGAGTAGATAGAGCTGTGGTCTTTCTTGAAAGTGGGGAGGCAAGGGTTAAGATGCTCGAACCTAGAGCAGAGACAAGGTCGCTTGAAGCCCGTTTCCCCAGCACTGTAAGACAGCATTGTCCATCCCTGATGGGATCATCAGAACTTGTCTGTCTTTGCAGCTCGAGCTTACTCCATCCGGACAAGCTTCACTTTGTGTTTAACATCATAGAGTATCCATCTAACACCACAGCGGGCACGCTGCGGAAGGGGGTGTGCACAGGCTGGTTGGCTACATTGGTTGCTCCGTTTCTTCAGCCAAACACGGAAGCTTTGCACGCAGACTGTCCTGCTACCCTGGCTCCTAAGGTACTATGACGGTGTGACCTCAGCTCAGCTAGAGCTCAGTTCTCTCCTTACTAGAACACTGTGCGCATCTTAAACATGCAGGCGTTTGTCAGTCTGTTGTTGCTCATCTTGTCTGTAGAAAAGAGTGCATTGTCTGTGACTGGTTCTTGACTGTGGGGGCAGTGGTATCTCCTGTTCCTGCATCCCAACTGGGTAGTTGTGACTTCTTACTATGTCCGTCATTTTAAAACACTTTTTAAAAATGCTTTGCAACATTGTCCTTTGACTATTTCCTGCATGTGTGCAGTGTATCTTGATCATATCCACTCCCCACCCCCGAGTCCAGCTTCCCGCAGGACACCCCAGTCACAACTCCATCCCAACTCACGACTTCATCATTCATTCGTTTCTTCATTTACGCTAAGCTCAGTTAGTGCTGTCCATACGCTCACGAGTGTGGAGCCGTCCCCTGCGCACAGGGACACACTGGTGGCCACACACGCAAAGTGACTCTCCCCCAGGAGCCACCAGCTCCATCAGTCCCTACACTGGGGGTGCTCGTGTTTTACACTTCTTAGCCTGCCCTCCGGGTCATTTATTCCTCATGCTTTTAACTCACATGTAAGAAGAAGTGCCAAGTGAAAACACTCTAGATATGAGTAGAAAGGAAAGTGTCTGCAGAGCAAACTTTTTCTTCTTCCTCTGTAGTAGGAGATGCGCTGATAGCTTCAGTAGGGTCTGCTGCTTCCATGTAACTTAGTGATGCTTCTCTGAGAGGAATTAGCACACACACCCTCACATCTCAGTTACGTGCTTGCCCAGCTTTTCTCTCACACTCACCAGAGCTGGTTCAATATTGCAGATATCCATCTCTCCTCGAGCAGCACACTCTTTCCACTTACCGGATGACCCTTCGGCCCCCATCATGATGGTGGGTCCAGGAACTGGCGTGGCCCCCTTCATTGGCTTCCTCCAGCACAGGTGTGTGTTCACGGCGGCTGCTGGGGAATGTGCTCCTTGTCATCAGGGGTAGAACATCGTACATTTTGTTCTTCCGTCGTTTTAGAATAACTGGGTGTTGGCTGTAAATTTTTTACTTTAGAAAGTTCTTACCTAGTATCAGGTGCTGTAGTTACTTGTCACTGTGGAGAAGGTGGTTTTCAGTCTGTGCTCCAAGTCAGGAGCTTCCCTTTGTACAGTGGCACTTCTAGTTGTCACTCTGTCTCTTCAGTTGTGCTGTGGATTATAACGTATGTACTTAGGGATGGCTTTACGGCACACCTCCCTTCTGTGGTGGGTGCAGCTGTTCCCTCTCCTGGGATGGGCTGTAGTCACAGATACACATGTAGCAGGTGTCTACACCTAGCCCAGACAGGGAACTTTGAGAAGAGTAGCGTGCTAGAGTAGATGGATCTGGCTTCTCTCGTGTTCCTCCCGCACTGCTCTCTGGACCCTGACCATCATCACTTGTGCTCACAGTGAGACTGTGATGTCAGCTGTGAAGCTCCAGCCCGTTGCCCATCCGTTGGCTCCTCTGTTTGGGCTATGCTGAGGCAGCACAATGCCGAGGTGTGTGGTGAAGCAAATCACACAATTCATGGCCAGGATCCAAAGAGAGGACATGGCAAGGGCCCCATCACCTCCTTTGGGGCCACATCCCCGGTTAACTAGAGGCTACTCAGTATGCTTTACCTCACAAACGTTCCGCCATCTACCTGGTGCCTTCAGGACTTTTGAGAGAGAGCCGCTATCTAAAGGAGGGCTAGTGTGTAATTAGGGTAGAGCATCTGCTTGGTGTGAACAAGAGTCCAGGGTCAGCCCGTATCACTGTGGCATAAAAACCCAGATAATACCCAAACAGCAAACGCTGAGACAGAATAAAGATGGCTTTTACAGACCTGTTTGCTGTGATATTTCCTGATGAGAGATGTGTTCATGTGCTCATTATATCCACATTTCCTTTGCCTCAGAGAGAAACTCCAAGAACAACACCCACGTGGGAATTTTGGAGCCATGTGGCTGTTTTTTGGCTGCAGACATAAGGACAGAGACTATTTGTTCAGGTAGAGTGTGTCTGTTGTACCTGAACAGACTTTGTCATCCTTAAACCACGACCTTCCCATGACCTTGCCGAATTACATTCCAGAGAGGAGCTCAGACGTTTCCTCAAGATTGGGATCTTGACTCACCTGAAAGTCTCCTTCTCGAGAGATGCCCCAGCGGAGGGGGAGGAGGCCCCAGCAAAGTATGTGCAAGACAACCTGCAGCGTCACAGCCAGCAGGTGGCCAGGACCCTCCTCCAGGAGAACGGCTACATTTACGTGTGTGGGTATGTGGCCACATAGGAAACCGCGGTTGCTGCTCTTGTGGTGAACTGAGGGCCAGGAAGCAGTGGAAGAGTCATTGAGTTTTTGATAATGGAAACGAGTCACGCAAAGGATGCTGGGAAAAGGTAGTAGGGTATTTATTCAGATAAAGAGAAGTAACTTACATGAGAAGCTGAGGACCAGGTCAGTGCTGTATGGTCTATGAACCTTGACCGGAATCCAAGAGAGCAGGGTCCCCTCCTGTCCCCTCTTTTATCCCTGGTTTCTCCCACGTACCTTTGACCATGACCAAACGGGCGTGGTTAGTGCTGCAGGTCTGTGAGACCTCCCCACAAGTTTTCAGATACATCATACATAAGCACACAGTGAATAATCCAGCATACACTTAGTAGCCAGAATTTCTTTTCAAGGAAGCAGTGGTGAATACTGGCTCTTGCATTGGATAATGCGTTACTTTGGGTAGATGTTTTTAGCATCTGAAAGCTCATGTTAAAACCTTAATCACACAGGGTGGTAGTGGCTCACACCTTTAGTCCCAGCTTTCAGGAGGCAGAAGCAGGTGAATCTCTGATTTCGAGGCCAGGCTGGTGCACAGAGTGAGTTCCAGGACAGCTAGGGTGGTAACACAGAGAAACCCTGTCTCAAGAAACAAAACCAAAACAACAACAAAAAAAAACCTTAATCACTTAAATTGAAGTCTCAACATGGATTTTGTTATGTAGAAAGAATTTGTGATTTGCAGCACTAAGCCATCAAGAGCGAAGCATGGTTTGACTCTGAGAATGTACATCAGATTATAATCCTTTTCCTCCAGGGCAGTTTGTGGTGGTCAAGTAGGCAGAAGACCAGGGCCACTCTTATATTACTAAGTTGTATGTACAGTCTGTGACAGTGTCTGTCACAGAAACTCAAAGGCGCCATGTAGAAAATACAAATTTTTAAAACCTGACTAAAATTTCCAGCTAGATAAAAGGGAATTTTGAAATAAGAAACTATACTTTTATCCTAAGACACTGAGCATTTACCATCTTCAGTCAGCCAAGCTTTTTTCTGGCCTTTTAACTGTGGTGCTGAAGAGGAAATGGTGGCCGTGATTTAGCATTTCCCAGAAGTTTCTGGCTGTCTGGATGACTTCCGTGACTAGTAGTCCCTGGCTGTCAGCTGAAGAGCACTGTGGGTTTATGTTTCCCTTTAGCTTTTGTTGAAGTTCTTGATCTTGGTGTTTGTAGAGGGCACATTGGTCACATTGAGGCTCAAGTGTTAACCCTCTGTCTAGTAGAGGCAGCTGATTACAGATGTGCCAGTAACTGGTCTTTGGTATCTCCAGACTCCTAAATTCTCTCCTGCCATAGCCCCTTCAGGGCACTGAGTCTTAACTTTCCTAGAGAGCACTAGTGGCTTCAGAGGTGAAGGCTCAGGGTCACCTTACCCGTCACAAGTGGAGTAGGCGGGAGGGAGGGAGGGAGCAGACACGGAGGGAAGAGAGTCTGTTCAAAGCCGGCCGGCCGGTCAAGTGAGGTGGAGGAGAGGACCTGTAGGTCCGGCAGAGGGTCAGGCCATGGGGATTGAGCTCTGGAGTGGTTGAGACAGAGATGAGGATGACAAAGATGACAGTTTACCTGCCAGGGGTAAACTGACAGGCCAGGCTGTATCCCAGACATCTACGTCCTGTCTTGGTTTCTTATCCAAACATTGGAGCACCTGCTGAGTGGTGTGTACTGTTCCAGCATTGGGAGATACAAGATAAATTCTACTCCCTGACCATTGTGGGAGAGCCCCGGAGCAGGGCTTAGCATGGCGTTAGCAAGGGACTTAACACAAGGTGGTGTCTCCCCTGCCTTCAAGGGCTAGACCTGTCCTCAGTGAAGAGTCTGTCACTTCAAGGGCAAGGCTGGGGACAGTGAGAGCATGCAGGTCTGCTGTGCACTCTCGGAGAGGGAGGGGCCCAGCAGCTGAGCCAGAGCTGAGCTTCCCTCCCGGGCTGTTCTGGGGGGATGAGAAGCCAACCTTGTTTAGATTGGGCACCATGGGTGAAGGCTTCACCTGGGGTAAGTGAAGCTACATGTCTGTGGAAACATTCTGAGAAATGAGGAGAAAAACAAAGATGGCAGGGTAAGAGGGAACAGGGTATGTGGTAACTAATAAAGAGGATTTGGTTTTTTAAATGTACTGTTTTGTAAAGTATGCTATTTTGTTTTCTAGAGATGCCAAGAACATGGCTAAAGATGTGAACGACACCCTTGTAGACATCATAAGCAAAGAAGCCGGAGTTAACAAACTAGAAGCAATGAAAACACTGGCAACGTTAAAACAAGAGAGACGATACCTTCAGGACATTTGGTCATAAAACTTACAATGCCAAAGCATAGCTTTACCAAAGCTGAGGTTAAAGTGGTTTGAACATTTCTCAGAGGAGGTTGGGTAGGGAACAGATCACTTACAGGTCTGGTGCAGTCCCATAGGTGCTTCTCCACTCCTCGTCTGTGGCCCTACCTGCGCCGCACTTTGTGGAGGTGAAGAGGCAGCTCTCGGTGCCGCCGCCCCTTCCCCCCTGCCCCACCCAGAGGACAGGTAGTCAGTGGCTCTCCTGAGCCTGTGCACATGTTGGAAAACTTGTGGGCATGTTACCTGACTATGAGTTATACGTGAGGAATATTTATACCAGTAATATTTAAATTAATGGCTGTAAAGCATACTTCTTGGATGTTTATATAATTATTTGATTGTGGTTTATTATCAAAATTATATTTCTGATAAAATATTTAATTTTGAAATAATCCTTATAAGAGTTTTATGCTACTAGAAATATATTTTGAGATATATTTGAAATTCTACTCTGCCTTTTTCATCATGTTTATTTGCAATGTCACAATTCTGTAGTTTGGGGGCATTTGCATCCCCCGTACAGACATCGTGTGCTCCTGTCAGTCATGTTACACCCTGTCCTTCTCATGGGCTCCTTTCATCTGTGCTCCTCACAAATAAGAGTTGGCTTCTTCCCAAAACTGACTGTATTTCTGTGGCATCACTCAGATTGTATCCCAGCTTTAAAATACTGCAGCTAGGTTTCTGATCCTAAATGCTCTTGGAAGCTATGGAAATAAAGTATGTAAAAGGGTTCTGTACTAGGTGTGCATGCTGTTGCTGGGACAGAGACTTGAGGAGGAGGATTTCAGCTTATGGTTCTGGTGTGCGATGCAGAGTGGTTGGGAGGGCATGTTGGCAGAAGCCAGAGCTCCGCTCACGTCACAACACGTCCATAGTCCAGGAGAAGACTGCTCGTGCCTAGCTAGTTTTCTTCTCTACACTCTGGAACCCCACCCATGGCATGGGTCTGCCAACTTTTAGTGTGGGTCTTTCCACCGCTGCCCAATCCACAGGCATGCCCAGAGGTGTGTCTCCAAGGGATTCTAGATCCTGTCAACTGACTCAGTATAACTCTCGGGTATAATAGCTTTCTCCATTCAGTATATTGTCTCATTTCATGGTTCACCATTTAAATCCATACCTGGTGAAGTGCTCCTTGATCATTGTGAGAATTAAAGATCTGAGAATGTAATATGCTAATCTCAACCTTGGTGAGGATTTGTGGCATTTTGTTCTACTTTTCTCATCTTACATATTGTATTTTGACTATTGCATATGCTATGTGCAATAAATAACATAGGGGTTAGGAAAATAAACCACACTACTCTTATGTACCCTGTGACATTTGGACGTTGTATGCATCAGGCACAGTAGACTGAGACAAGACACGGAAAGGGAGAAAACACTGTCTCTCAGTTAATGATAAGATGCCCACCTGCCCCTGTGCTGTATAGTGCATGACAGCAAACCGACAGATCCAAACACAAACGAAGGAACAGCTCCTTGTACTTGCTGTTGAAAAAAAGCTTATCTAGGCCTCTGCACAAGACACCCAGGAGAAGGGTCACTTGCAGCCCCATGTTACTTTTATTTTGCTTCTCCGGTGCTAATGATAAATATTTTAAAGTTTCAGGTATAGAAATGATCACCCATGAATCTGATTTAAATCAGATTAATCAAAAGCTGAGCAGGTAAATTAAATATGGTGGCATGATGAATTCCCTGGCACACAACTTGACAGCCTTATAGGCCCAAGTACTGAGGTCTGGTCTATTCTGCTTTCTCTCCCACCTTTTAAGCCTCACTCAGGTGGTACAGTTTGCCTCGTGGACATCATAGTGAGTTATTCTCAACAGTGATGAAAGCAGAGATCATCTACACATTTGTAGTATGTGGATGACTGGGTGAGCCTCCCCTGTTTGGAAAGAGTCATCAACACAAAGCTAATAAAAGCACTGTTACTTATATGGACATAAATCAGCTATTCCTCTGCTTTATGTTCATTTAATGCTCACATTCTTCTTTTTAAATGTGGTTGGTTGACATTGCATGGAAATCCAAATTCTGCTTTTGACACCTATTAAATTTTCATGACTAGTGGGTTTAATATAAGTTTTCTTAAGTCAGGGCCATTTCCATCTTTAAAGTATTCTTTTAGTGTGAGAATGCTACGCTAGAGTTGGCTGAAGAAGGTGGATGCATCTACCTGTCTCTTTCAGCGTTTATTTATTACATTGGGGTACCAGAATGTGTGCCCCACTGTTCTCAGCAACATCACAGGCAGAGAGGACGCTAAGATTCAGAGCTGGAGGTCCCCACGGGCTGCCTGGCTTATCTTCCTCCAAAGACCATGGGGGTGTTTTTGGACTCCTGTGTGTCTAGCATGGTGTCAGAAACTCTTCAAGGGTCCACTGAAATTCTATCAGTTGTCACTCTTACTGTGACTTACAAAGTCTGACCATCTTCCCCAAGACCATGGTGGCAACTGGATCAGACAACTTCACAGTTGGGCTGTTGGACTCCATCTTTTATGGGGGAAAAAGTAAGTTTGTTACAAGATTTCACTCACAAACATGGTATGTAAGTGTGCTAGTTTATGCACAGTTGGGAAAGTGCACCTGGCTGACTCAGCTTGCCTTATTTTCCTTCTGGGAAGGTTGATGCCTTCACCAAGAAGGTTGCAGTCTTAAAGCCAGCCTTACAAGTTCACCATACATGCCTGTGGAATTTTAAAACCTGAATGTCCTAGAATCAATAGATAGTATCAGGATTAAGATCTTCACCGTATTGTGCCTCACTACCTATAAAAATAGTATTGCTGTCCAGTTTGCTACATATTTTGTAAGATCTTCCAGTGCTGTTTGTAATCCTACACCTATAGACTCTGCACACCTTCTGTTAGTCATAAAACAACCAGGTGGTCTGTGAATCCTATGCCGTTTCAATGCTTTAAATGAATGAATTTTTGGAATCTTGAAATCTGCCTTGAAAGAGTGTCAATTAGATAAGGTCGGGCACAGTAACTTAGTTATTTGTCAGATAGTAAATAATTTACAAAGTATTCAATAATATTGTAGGATTAATTCTGGTGACTTTTTCCTAACTACTCATGTATCCCTTACGTTATGTGAAAAAAAACTTGCTAATAAAACATTTTCAATTAAATGTAGTTGATGAGAAGTGACAGGTTTTGCTGTGTGGTCACTGAACCTGAGCAGATAAAGATCAGTTCTGGCAAATATGTGGAAGGGTTGGTTAAAGACAGTAAAATATAGTTCATTGAGGTGCAGCACAAATTTGCCCTCTTTTAAAATCTGCTAGTGATTTTAAAAGAAACCGCTACTTTTTATCATTTTAAAATGTAAGATTTTGCTTTTTTACATTTGTCTTCAGTAGGCATTGATCAAGTTCAATAAAAGGAAATTCCCATTTTCTATGTTATTAATATGTATATATCTCATTATATAATTACACTGAAAACCAAAGGATGGTGATTAACCAAGAGTGTTAGGTATCGGATGTTTTGGGTCAGAGTGTGAGTTGAAGAGAGGACTGATGGGAGATTCTGAAAGAAGAGCCTTATGCTACACAGGAGGAGGGTTTAATTAACAAAAGAGTTAGGATACAAGGACATTAAAGATTTCACTGTTGGCACTGTAGATTTCACTATTGCTGTCATGAACTGTTTCTTATACTTAAGTACTGAAACTGGAACACTGAACATTCATTTCACTGTTTGCTTTTTTTTATGCCTCTCCTTGAGTTCTCAGGATCTCACATTGCTTAGAAATGTTCCAGTGTGGCCAGGCAATGGTGGCACACGCCTTTAATCCCAGTACTCGGGAGGCAGAGGCAGGCGGATCTCTGTGAGTTCGAGGCCAGGCTGGACTGACAGCTTTGAAAACAATACAGAGAAACCCTGTCTCGTAAATACAAAAAAAAAAAAAAGAAGAAGAAGAAAGAAATGTTCCAGTGTGAGAAAATGGTGTTTCATGACTGACATCACAGACCAATAAACAGAAAACAAAGGGACTTTGGCTCCCAGTATCATAGAGTCTACTTTTCCAGAGATTGTTGAATATCTATCAATATTGGCAAATTATTTGTCATTTTACGACAAATAGGAATTCCGACGTTGGTTCATTCGATTAAGACATAAGATACATAGAATTATGCACATCTGACAAAGCTATTCAGCATGTGTAGTGCACACACTATACTTCTCTCACTGTCACAACACCTCCAGCCAGCACCACCGGTGGAACTCCATTTTGTTAATGGTGTGTTTGGAATTTTGGAAGAATGTTTGATGTTCAACAAGGACATTTTCTTTTTTTTTTTTTCTTTTTTTGACATTTAAAAAAACAATCTTCTCATTTTACATATCAATCCCAGTTCCTACCACCTCCCTTCATCCTCCTCTCCCCACCTTCTGCCCACCCCACCCCATCCACTCAGAGAAGGTAAGGCTTCCCATGGGGAGGCTGGCACATCACTCTGAAGCAGAACCAAAGCCCTCGCCTGCTATATCTAGGCTGAACAAGGCAATCCTCCAAAGGGAATGGGCTTTAAAAGGCCAGTTCAAGCACCAGGGATAAATCCTGGTTCCACTGCCAGTGGCCTCACAGACAGCCCAAGCCACACAACTGTCACCCACATGCAGAGGATCCACTTCAGTCCCATACAGGTTCCCTAGCTGTCAGTCAGTCCAGAGTCAGTGAGCTCCCACTATATGTTGTCACCATCACAGGAGTTAGTGGTCATACCAAGTTGACATTAATCATGGGTTGCCTTCTCTCTGAACCTGAGTAACATACACTGACCCCAGAAACATTTGCAGGAAATGGGATGCATGGCCCAGTATATGCCTTGTTAGTAAGGAAGAGCCATTAACTAACACTTTATGTCCTTCCCACCCAACAATTACCAATACATATGTCTAGGTATGTCAAACTACAAAGGCTGAAGACGCCGAGGTACATGGGTCCATCCCAGGAGCTCCCACTCTCCTGGGGCTTGAACTCAGACGCTCACCAAAGGTAGACTCTGCAGTGAAATACCTGGACTGGGTGTCCACGAGGCATCAGGTTAAGGAGTCTGTGACACGGAAAAGGTGGGAATCATGAGGGTGACAAGACCACACACAGATCCATCACAGAAGGAAAGGCTCCAAATATTGAAGGGGAGAACAAAGGAGCCTTCAAAGATATAGAAGGTATCAAACACCATCAAGGAAGTGGGTGAAGATTCCTTTTCCTCTGGCTGTAGTTACCGTAGGAATGTCTGGAACCCTGGCAGAGTAAACAGCCTTCAGAAAGAGGCTGGGACAAGTGAGGAGCCCAAGGCATCTCTGCAAGAGAGCAAGGGCAACCGTGACACAGCATTTGAAGGTCACTTTAGAGTGGATGCAAGCACTTCCTTCGATTTTAGAACTGAGCCCTGTGGGCAGTGATGTGGGAAACAACAGCTGTGTAGGGCAACACTCACTTTGAACTTCACATCTGAGAACAGTTTGTGCCTGTAAACCCCCGATAAAGACTGAGAAGTCTTTATTCTCTCCATGGCCCTGAAAAGTTGCCTGGTGTGGGGGATTTATTATGGGTCTAAAAGGACAGGTTGGGGGATGGGACCCATTAGGTTGGATCACTTACAGATTGATGAGAGTGTTGGGTAATGGGCTGAAATAAACATTACTGGAAATCCATAGGGAGCATTGCTTGTATCAGCTTTCTGGTGAGACATTCGTACTGTGTGTGAATATAAGATGACTGGGCTCACACACATAGCACAGGTCTTTAGAGACTTCATGAGATCTAATAGCTAGGGAAGCCAAGACCCCATGGTTTGAACCAAAGTTCATACCTTCTCTACATCTGTGTTTTATGTGGGTAAGCTTCACCATTGATTCCCAGGGTTTCCCACCTGTAATAAACTCTATGTCTTTTGTTCATTAGCATATGGATTATGCAAATTTTAATATTATAGACAGAGAAAACACTATATACCAGAAGATGGCCATTGAGCCAGGAAAGAGAATGTGAGGCTTTCAAAATGACAAGTTCTAGTCAGGGGGCTGCACTACTAGGTTTTGGAAGGTTCCTTGGTAACTGTTGTCTGGGAGCTCCAGTAACCTCTTTGTCACAAGATTGTGTCATGTGCCATTAGCCCGGGGAAAAGTTAATACTCAGCATCAGAAATACAGATTC